CCTTATATATCATTAATTTTAGCAAAATTTAAAGTAATGGGCCGAATTATGAGATGAAGATCACTTCTGAAAAAAGAAATAAACTAACTTGGATCCAATAATTCGGTAGATTACTATAAATGGAAATTAAAAAAATCTTTTTGACCCAGAAAAAATAAAATACCATATTTGTAACCTGTCAGGTACCTGCTGCAAGTTCAGCAGGTACCTGCCGCTAATTCAGCAGGTACCTGCCGCAAATCTAGCAGGTACCTGCCGCAATTCTAGCAGGTATCTGCTGTTAATCCAGCAGATACCTGCCGCAAATTCAGCAGGTACCTGCTGCAAATCTAGCAGGTACCTGCCACGAAAGCAACAGGTACCTGCTGCAATAGCGGCGGACTTTTGACTTGAACGGCTTGCCATAAGGTTTCTCCACCGATGCACCTAAATTAACTAAATGAGGACACCCTATTTAAATTGAAGTACCTTATTGTACACTGCGATTGTCATAAATTTTCTATTGACTATTTTAGCTAACACTTTTTGATTTCTTAATTTTATGATGTTTTTGACTTTTTTCAAATTTTCTACCTCCCTTGTCCATAATTTTCTTTTTTTTTTGATTTTTCCGTATTATCTTGCAAACGTATCTTCTAATTCTTGCGATCATTTTCTTGTTTCTTCCTCGTTCGGTATTGTAGGTAGGCTGCCTATCTCCCCATTTTTAGGTTACGGTATTTAAGTCTTTCATCGATATTTGAATATCTTCCTCTGTATTTGTAATATTATCTCACTAACTTCTTTGATGCCTTCATTAACTTTACTCTTTTACATTTACGAGAATACGTTAATTTGGATCCTGTAAACTATTTGAAAGAATTAAAATTAGTTGTCTCCTATTTCATCATCTAATTCCGCAACATTGTTCGATCCACGACTTGAATTTTGAAACGAGAATCGAATTTTATATTACTAAACTATACATGTAGCCAAAACTTGCTGAAAACATGGCTGAATCCGAAAGTTCCAAAATCTGAAACGAAACTCTGGCAGAAACTTGAGATCAATGTCCGAAACTATTTTATAATTCTGGCCCAATTTTCCAAATCATATATCACGTGACACCAGATAAAAGCTTAGCACGGAAAAAATGTTACACAAAATTTATAATGCGGGCCAAAATGCATAATGCCGGCCGGAAAATTTCGGCCCAACTTTCAACTTTCGGCTAGAGTTTCGTTTTGGAATGATTGGCCGAAGGTCAAATCCTGAAATTATTCCAAAATTGCCGAGTTTCGACAACATATACAATTAAAACACTTTTCTTTTCTTTTTTCTTGAACTAGTATTGCTTTGATTTTTCAAACTTGAACTTTTTTTATCACTTTTATCAATAAGTTCTCATTACGAAAAGATGTAATTATCATATATTTTTGGCAATATTTATGATACTGATCATAATGATTTCATTTCTTTGCATGATTTTACTTGTTTTGGCTACAATTTAACCGGTTCTATATCTTTGATTAATTGCAATCTATCCCTTTCTCGTCTTTATTTTAGAGTCCACGTACCATCGTAACATCTAATTTCGAGGTCTCTAAGTATTGTAGAAAAATCGCCATTATTAAATTTTTTTTTTTCATCCCTTGTAAAATATATTTCTGCTCTTGCTGTTTGATATTTAAAAGCTTTTTATCTCTAACCCTCTTAATTTTTCCTATTCGGTGTTTAAATTTTCCTATTTCATGTTCTTTTCATCTCGTAAAATACTATGGCACATGAAATGTTCAGATGTCGCAGTTGTCGCATATCATATGATATTTAAACGAAATTGTGTAATCATAATCTAATATACTACGCGTCTACGCCCATACTAATTTGATAAGACCATTATACATTTTGTCGGTTTCTTAATAATTATTTTATTCTTTTGCGTTTTAAGTAAAATCACGCCTTTTTCGAAGAACCTTTTAAAAGTAGAAACAAAAGTATAACTAAAAAACGAAAATATATGTAATTTTTACACAAAGAAAAAGATTTTCTAAGGATATAATGGTGATTATTCAGATAAATTTTTTGTAAAATGCAAAAAAAAACTTACTTTTTTATATGTTAATCATAATAATTTTACTATTCACTAAATATTATTTAAGCAGTAAATTTTAATAAAATACATTAATACTTATTTAAACGTTTTAAGTAAGCTTTAACATTTTATTAATATATACTAAATTATTGGACAAAATTAATTTTTAAAAACTTGCAAGAAATTGGTAGTTTTTTTTGTGTAAAACGAATGTGTTACTCGAAATATATATGATTTCTACAAGTAAATAAAAATCTTTAGTTCTTTTAATAAAAATTAGAGAAATTTTAGTTGAACTCAATGATAACCAAAAAATCTATTTAGATAACCAGCTCTATTACCTTAATAAAAGTTGTTCACTTTGCAAAATTATGTCATAAACAATAAAATATTTATTATTAGCTGAGGGAGCTTGAATCAAAATAAAAAATTTTTTTATTAAAAATCTGCTTTTTTGTATTTTGTAGAGAATCTATCTGAATAACTATCAAGATAACCTTACAAAAGCTTTTTTCTCATGCAAAATTACATATATTTATTGTTATTAAAATTAAAGATCTCAAAAAAAGCTTGTTTTTAAGGACGAAGTTTATGGAAAATTATTTCACGAAGCTATTAGTAAATTACTTAATTAGGATAGGTATGATATAGGTTACCCAAATTTTGATTTAATATAAAAATGTCATTTAGATTTATAATTTTTGTATTCGATTTCTCTCCATATGACAATGGGAATTAGTAACCTTTGAAGCAATGATTTATCATTTGACAGACAATAATAGCGTTAGAGAGTTAATGCAAAAGTATAAAAAATGGAGCCTTGCTATAACCGTAGTAATACCTTTCAAAAGGTTAAAGATATTCTTTCGAAAAACTTTAATGACATAATAAGAAATCGAAGCCAGAGTTATTAAGAGCAATAAACGGTTGGTTTCCTAAAGAAAGGTGGTACTGGTCGAAAAACATTTTAAACTCGGAAACAATAGAACTTCTTTTAAGACTAAGTGAGAGTATAGCTTTTGAAATATATAAAGAGGATATTTTACTTAATGGGAAAACAAAATTCCAAACTTCGAAATCTGGTAGCGGGAGGCACAACAAAATCAAAGAATATGAAAAAAAGGAACGAGAAATAGGGTAAATAACTTGAATACAGTTATAGAAAAAGTCAAAGATGCTATAAATCAAAAAATGATAAACGTGGATTTTATTTGCTGCTATTCTACAGCCAAATAGGATCATGCTTTTTTCATCATGCTGATATTTTTTTATTAAGCTAGTATAAATAAACTACCATTGCATAATTATTATTGATATTTTTGATCAATAGTTTATTGTATTTATAAGATGCTCATTGGCGGCTGCAGAATAACTAATATATGTTGTGTTAATGGGATGACTTTAATTGTGATTTTTTTTTTTTTATAAGAAAAAAAAAATTATTACACTTTTTTTTATTAACAGTTTTCTTTTAATGACTAATTTAAATAAGGTTGATACAATATATAAAATTAAAAAAAAAAATACAAAATATAAATTTTTTATTTATAAAAATTAATAAGTAAAAAAGATCATGATGTGTAAGAATGATTATGTAATAGGTACTAATTTAATAAACTTTTTATTTACGTTTTTAAAGCATTATCATCACGTTTAAAATCCTGTAATTTAATAAAATAATAATGATTAATTTTTCGTATTTTTAATGAATTTTAATGAATTATTTATTTATTTTATTTATTTTGAAGTATTTCTAGTAATACATTTTGTGAATGTTTATGTCCTTGTTTGGCAGCTTTTTCATACCAATAAATTGCTTTGTTTATATCTTTTGTAATTCCTCCTACATTTTCATATATCTTACCCAGATTATGTTGTGCTATCATTTGTCCTAAATTTGCAGCATTTTGATATAATTCAAATGCTTTTTGCTTATCAATTTTAGTTCCAATACCAATATAATAACAATTTCCTAACAGAGTTATTCCACCCAAATCTCCTCCTTCAGCTAATTGCTTAGACAATTCGAATGCTTTGTTATGATCTTTTTCAACACCATTTCCACTTAAATAACGAACAAAAAGATTATGAATAGCCATCATATTTCCATTATTTGCAGCTCTTTCATACCAATAAATAGCCTTTTTTATATCTATGTTAATACCTATTCCATTTTCATAACAATAACCAATTTCTAATTGTCCACGTGCAAAATTTTTATTGGCTACTTTTTCATAGTATTCAAAACCTAATTTTTTATTTTTTGTAGTTCCAGTTCCACTTAGGTAACAATCAGCAACAAAATGTTGTGCTAATATATGATCTTGATCCGATGCATTAATAAATAAATTGAAAGATTTTTTATAATCCTCACTTGTTGCAATTCCAAACTGATTAAAATATCCAAATAAAAAAATTGAATTTGGACTATTTTGATTATTTGATAACCAATTATATATTTCTTCTGAATAAGTGTTATAATTATTAAAATATTCAATAACTTTTCCTTTCATTAATTTCCATTCAATTCTTTTATTTGATAAATTATAAATAAAATCATTTATTTCATCAATTATTCTATTAAAATCTTCTTCAGCTGAAATATTTTCTTGTTTACTTAAAACTATCATAGGATCAATTTCTTTTGTATTAATTTTATTGAAATTTTGAATAAGTTGAGATAATTCTCTTTGTGATTCTAAACCATTAATACTTAAAGAAGCCTTGCTAAATTCATGTTTGTCTAATGATTGAAGAATATTTGCTATTGCATCTGTTTTTGTAATCATCTCTTTTAAACGATCAACTACTTGATATATATTTGGACGATTATCTGGTTCACCATCCCAGCACTCTAAATAACAAATGTAATTTAAGATTAGAAAAATAATATTTAAGTAATTACAATTAAAATTTACTTACTAGTATAAATTTCTACATAATTTTCGGGTGTATCAGGAACAACTGTTTCTCTAAGACCTTGTAAAATCTCCAAAGCTAAACCAACATCATATCGTTCACCTTCAACATAAAAGGGAGGTTGGCCATTGGATATTTCCCATAACAATACGCCAACACTGTAAACATCGCTTTTTTCATTTAATGAGTAAATTTGAGATGTTTGATTATTAATATTTCTTCGTCTATTAAAAATTTTTGGATCAACATAAGGAACCATTCCAAATATTTTGGATTGAACATTTGATGACGCTCCGATTCTTTTTGATAATCCAAAATCCGCCAATTTGATCGTGTTTTGATGAACTAATATATTACCAGAATGCTATTAAAAAGTTATATATAAACTTAGTAATGCAAATATTATATTATAGACAATGATTGAAGAAAATAAATAAATTACCAGGTCACGATGGACAATCCCTTTATTATGTAAGCATGACACAGCGCAAGCTAACTGGTATGCCATAATATATTTATCATCCCATGTAAGTTTACCAAAGTTTTTTTCCAAATAACTTCGAAGACTGCCATTATTAGCATATTCCATTACTAACATATAATTATTACTAACATGATATTCTAAAGAACAAAAGAAATAATTAATTAAAATGCATTTTTTATGAATAAAATACGTATATTATATTAATTAAAGTATCATTATAATACCTGCTGACTCAAATTTCGTTATTCCATGACAACAAATAATATTATCATGATAATCAACTTCACGTTGATTTTTTAACTAAATAAATTCAAATTTTAATAAATAAATTTTAATAAACAATGTTATAATGATAAAAAGAAAAATTTTTATTTAAAAATTACCTCACGAATAATTTCTTCTACGGTGATATTGTCAAGGCTAAAAAAAGACTTTACCGCAAAACATTTATTTAAATTTTTCCAATTTGCACGGTACACTTTACCAAAACCTCCGGTACCAATTTCTTGAAAGTTATTAAATTCCTTGTATTCATAATATTTTATATGTTCTTTGTGAATGGCTTCTTCAATCCAATTAATCCATTCATTTTTATTCTCGATATCTTGCATTTTGATATCAGACATATTGAATAGTAATAATTTGACAGAAAAGTGTTTAAACGATGAGTTTGAACGTTCAAAGTTGTAAAAAAAAAAAACTATTTTTAGCATTTTTTTATGCAATTTAATTCCCGATAGTCGTACAGTGCCACAAACAAAAAGTTGTCAACCACTTGATTTTTTTAGCCGCAGTGCCGCAGTAATGATATGTTACAAAGTGAAAGTTAACTTATTTAGAAAATAGAACCATAATCCATACTTAATGAAGATGGAGAAATAATATATATAAGCCCAGATCAGTTAGTTGTTGAATTTGTCATCACATGATTTATTAACATGAATATTTTAGTAGATATTGACAAAATTATTCAAAGTAATTTTAAACTGGCCTATCTATACTTGCCACCCATATTAATGACGTATTTTTTTATATATTGACTTATAAGAAATTATATAATTGGAGAAATATCATAATTAATTTAACTATATCTTCTATGACCTATGTGCAATGCTAAATTTCATTATGGTTTTATCTTACTATATTTTATAATACATTTTTGATTACATATTTTTACTATTGCTACCCGTTTAAATCATTGTGTTATCTATATATTTTTTTATATTGTTATTTTATTTTCTTCTAATTCCTGTCTTATTACTTTTCGCATGATACTAGTTTTTATATTTCAAACCGTCTATCAATGATCGTATTTATTACGTTTATCTCTTTATTTTCATTCATCCTTTTAACACTTAGAAATTACTAATTACTTATATTTTTATGATTAACTAACTCTATTGCTAATTGTTTTATATATCATATAAAAAATCAAGATTATATACAAATGCTTTACTTATTATGTAATATACATTTTCATTCAATCTCAATATTGATTATGAAATTATATCACTTTGCCCGTATATTAATTTCATTATTCTTGTTTTATGCTTGAATTTTATATTCTGAGGTGTTTTTTTTAACAACTAATTCACCTTTACTGTTTAATTTTGTAATTTTTTAAATTTATCATAATTTATTTTATGATCGTAAACCTAATATTATTTCATTTAAAATTATTATGGTGTCAATTATATACTAATTTATTTACTAAAATTTAAACCACTTATTATATACCATAATACAATTTAATGTTGTATTAGCAATTTTATGAATTAGAAATATTATTATTTCATCTCAATTCTTGTAAAATTTGTTTGGCTGAAAAAAGGCTTTTTTAACACGTGTACGTAATTTTTAGACTTTCCAGTTGATTAAAATTGATCAAAAATTTATTAAATGCTAAATATCATAATTATTGTTCCTTCTGATTCATAACTTAGCTTTTTTTCCTGCCTTATCATGAACTTTTAAATTTACTTAATGTTAAAGGTCTATCCTACCCTCTCAGACAAACTTTCTTCTTACTAGGTTTACAGCAATTAAAAATTGCATCAAATCAACAAGTTTTACATATTACACCTTAAATTAACATTTATAAAATGAAATCATTTTACATCATCTATTATTTTTAAATATTTCACGGAAGCTTTCTTAGTGTGGAGGTACTGGTGTACAGGTTTTGATGTTGCGGTATGTGTGGGTACATGAGTGTGGATGTAGAGGTGTGGGTAAAAGCCAACGAACTTGTACGCTAAATTATTTGTGATTTTAAGCAAAGTCCTAAATATTTTACTTGAAGGGCATCGTTGTTAGCATATTCGATCACTAATAAGCAATTTTTCTATTAAAGAATAAATATTTCTTTTTTGGAATTCACATAATATATACGTAATCATACTTGTCTTTAGAAATGAGCAACATTACTACGAAACCACAAGTTCAAACTTAACAATTAAGTAAATAAAGATTGCTGCATAAATTGACCATTTTCGTAAATAAATTACTTTCGAATGATTTCAGCTCTTTTGCAATGATATGGCATTAACACTAGTGTTGAACCCTTTTTTATAATCCTAAAGTATAGCTAAAAAGAATTTATCGTAAAAATTAAAGAGCCACTAAATTATAAAATCTATATTTCAATATTATTCTGCAAAAGTCTAAGTAGCATGGAAAATTTCAAATTTTTGATAATGAAATTTTTTAAAAAGGATTTCTTGTAAATATTCCTATATAGTTATTTTAATGGTGATCAAAGTACTAGTACTCTTTTTTAATACTGAATTAATATAAAATTGAAAGTCGGTAATCTGCATAACTGCATTTGAATATTAAAAAATGAGCACATCAGCATGACTCTATATTTGTAAAGGAAGATCAGAAAAGTTCAAGATAGTGAAGGAAACAGGCGATATTATTAGAGTTCCAATTCGTAGATTGACGGATATATTTCGGAAATTATATATAATGATGGCAAAGATTTTTTTTGAGATATACTAAGACTATATCTTAATATATATATGAGTAATAACAAAATTAGAAAGTTTGCTTAAAATTAAAAAAGAGGAAATCTAATTTGAATTTTCATTGCGTCGGATGGATTTTCAATCCGAATTAAATTTATCTCTTTTTCTATATTTGAAGAAATTTTAAATTTACTATATCGTGTATCGGGATATAGGCTAAGGATTTCTATGATTGATTAAACACGTATATAGTAATTGCCGAAACGTGTCTATCAATTAATCCGCGGATTGGAACTCTAGATATAAAAAAAAATCTTTTCCTGCCGATCTTCTGAACAAAATTTTTAGCGGAAGAAAAACAATTTTTTATATAAAAACTATATACAAAACTATATACAAAAATGTCATCAGACATGGTTTTAATGAAGGAAAGGATATACGACTTCTCTATAATGAGTTTACAGGTCTGAAAGAAAAGTTTTTAATGTAAATAATTTAACGTAGATGATTATACAGAACTAGAAGCCAAAATACTGGGACCCAAAGCTTATGTACCACAAAGCAGGAATAACACGAAATTTAGAATCATATTTTGTTGGCACCTTCTTATTCCGAAGTTTCTCACAAATTTTCTTCCTAGCGAACGCCGCAGCAACGATGATTCGGTATCATGTGAGCTGAAAGAAAAATTATGCATTTGGAAACTGAAGTAATAGAAAAAGAACGAATAAAATTGTGCCAAAAAAATGAATGAGGAAACTATTATTAATTTGGAAAAGAATCTTTAACAAAATTAGTTAGGATGTTTCAACTCAAACAAAGAAAAAATCAAAACCGAAAAAATCGGCGGCAACACAATCACGAAATGGAAAGATCTTTGAACTGCCCGGATCAATGTTTATCCGAAACAACACGTGATATTACATTTTATCAGAAAAACTATTTATCAAACGTCGGTATAAGTAAAACCGTCCGAGAAAAAATCCGCCTATACAAAACGAGGGATAACGATAGCGATATCATTTAATAAAACAAACCTTTCTGGGAAAAGTAAAATTGGATTTTATTTTAATTTTGGGAACAGGTATAGGATTTAAATATTCATATAAATTATAGTTTACTAGTATCGAAATAGATTGGAATATGATTTAGTTTTGTTTTTTATAGTTTTCAAAAATGTAATTTATTTTTCCTTTTTAACATTTGTATCTCAATCGACGAAGTAGACATAGCATCGGTTTAGATTAGCAAATAGATAGTAAATAGATAGAACAAATTAGTAGGTGCCTACTTCCGTCTTTTGACGGGTTAGTAGATAGAACAACCTATTAATTCATAGTAGTGTTATTTTCATGGATAGTTGTAATTTACCTGTAAAATCACTATAATTACTAAAATGCGCGTTACTTGCAAAAAAAAAAACTCTATATATTATATTGTGAAAAAGTACTATATAAAAACAAAAAAAAAAAAGAAAAAGCCAACTAAGCCCATCGTACTAGTAACATGTTAGTAAAAATAATGTTGATTTTATAATTTATTGTTATATAATTTATTGAATATTTTTGATCATGACTTAGATCCTTTGCCATATTACTTTTAATAAGCAAATAGGGCGTTTATGATTAATAATTTGAGATTGTCGTCAGTATACTTAATTTTAACGTTCTTTTTATTCTTTTTTTGTAGGTTCAACATTCAGAAGGGATGTGTAATGAAAAATTCACATACTGTACGTTGTAAAATTTTATTAAGTGCCGAATAACGTTTAATATAACAACTTTCATAAAAACTGAAAATATATATATTCATTTGTTAAAAATATAACTTGTTTCAATATTAATATTATTTCATTACTGCGGTACTGCGGCTAATGATAGACATTTTTTGTAATTTTGTTTGGTGATACTGTGGTGAATAATCTGCATAAAAAGGCGTTACTTGGTTACACAAATAAAATTTTTTGCAACTTTAACGTTCAATCGTTTTGTTTTAAAAACTTTTCTGTCAATTATTATTCAATATGTCTGATAATAAGCAAAAGCAAAACTCCGAAAATACGAATGAATGGATTAACTGGGTTGAAGAAGCTATCGTCAAAGAGCACTTAAAATTTTACGAATACAACCAATTTAGTAACTTTCAACAAATTGGTGTTGGAAGTTTTGGAATAGTATACCGTGCAAATTGGAAAAACTTAGAAAAACATTTAGCATTAAAATCTTTTTTTAGTCTTGACAACATCACTGTGAAAGAAATTGTTCGTGAGGTAACTTAATATATAATAATTTTTTTTTATTCTCTGATTTTATTAGCGTATTATATTTAAAAATTTAAATTTATTTATTTAGTTGAAAATTCAACGTAAAGTTGACCTTCATGATAATATTATACGTTGTCATGGAATAACAAAACTTGAACCAGGTATTATAATAATTTTAAATGTGATATTTTTAATTTCCTCATAAAGTACATTTTTAATGTTTTTTTTTATTTTCAGAAAACCATCATGGTAACGTTATTAATTATATGCTGGTAATGGAATATGCAGACGGTGGCAGTCTTCGAAACTATTTGAAGAATAACTTTAGTAAACTTACTTGGAATGATAAGTACCTTATGGCGTACCAGTTATCCAGCGCTGTATCATACTTGCATGTTGAGGGGGTTGTCCATCGTGACTTGGTAATCTATTTATTATTATTTTTTATTGTTTGTAGTGTTATATTTACTTTACTTATTTAATTTTTACATTTTTAATAGCATTCAAGCAATATATTAGTCCATCAAAACACGATCAAATTGGCAGATTTTGGGTTATCAAAAAGAATTGGGGCATCATCCAATTTTCAATCCAAATTATTTGGTATGGTTCCTTATGTTGATCCAAAAAGTTTTAACAGAAGAAGAAATAGTAATAATAACCAAATGTATTCATTAAACGAAAAAAGTGATGTTTACAGTATTGGAGTATTATTATGGGAATTATCAAGTGGACAGCCTCCTTTTTATGCTGATGGTGAACATTATGATGTTAGTTTAATTTTGGAAATTTCACAAGGTCTTAGAGAAACAGTTGTTCCTGATACACCCGATGAATATATAAAAATTTATACTAGTAAGTAAAAAATTTTTAATTTTAATTATATATTTGAAGTTATTTTAGTTAATCTTAAGTTGTATTTTGTCTTCTTTTTAGAATGTTGGGATGGTGAGCCAAATAATCGTCCAACTATATTTCAAGTGGTTGATTGGTTAAAAGTAATCGTTACAAAAACCGATATAATAATAGAAAATCCTCAATTATCAAACAATAAAGAATTTGATAAGATCCCTTCAAGTATTAATAATTCAGAATCCCAAGGAGAATTATCCCGACTTATTAATTATTTTAATAAAATGAGTACAAAAGAAATTTATGCTATAGCAGAGTCATATAAGCAAGAGAAACTATCAACTGAAATAGATTTTAATAGTATAGTTTATGAAGTAAATGATTTAATTTTTAAATTATTAAATAAAGGAGTTGACTGGCAGTTATTAGAAGATAATGTTATTGATTATTTTAATAATCACAATATTAATTTGCAAGAAATTTATAATTGGTTATTAAATAATCAAAATCAAAATAATTTAGATTCCATTTTTTTACTTGGATATTTCGATTATAAGGGAATTGAAATTAGCAAAAATAATGAGAAAGCATTTAATTTATTTATTAATGCGTCAGAAAAAAATCATATACTTGCACAATATTTTGTTGGGAATTGTTATGAATATGGTAATGGAACTGCAAAAAATGAAAAATTAGCTTTTGAATATTATAAAAAGTCAGCTAATAAAAGTCTTTCGCGTGGACAAACACAAATTGGTTATTTTTATGAAAATGGAATAGGCGTTAAAAAAAGTCTAAAAAAGGCTTTTTATTGGTATGAAAAAGCTAAAAATAATGGAAATATAATAGCTATGCATAATCTTGGTAATTGTTATAGAAATGGAATGGGTGTTAAAGAAGATGAAAATAAAGCTTTTGAATTGTTTAAACAATCAGCTGAGGGAGAATATTTAGATGGAATAATGATGTTAGGATATTGTTATGAAAATGGTATTGGAACTAAAATTAATATGCAAAAAGCATTTGAGTTTTATCAAAAATCAGCAAATTTGGGAGATATGTTAGCACAATATAATCTTGGTCTTATGTATGAATTTGGAAAAGGAATTATAAAAAATAAGGATAAAGCAAATTATTGGTATAAAAAATCTGCCAAACAAGGATATCAAAATGCAAAGAATAAATTAGAATTACTTCGAAAAAATAAATCATGATAACTAAAGTATAAATTCTCATTTATTAAGTTGTAAAATGTAAATCAGCAGTACTTTTGTTAAAAAAAAACACTCTAAAATATATAAAATTTCATCATTTTTATATATTAAAAATTCATAAATTTACTTGTGAAACAATGATTCAGCGAACACAATATCGTTGGGCATTTTTATTCGCTAATCATAAATTACTGAATAAATTGATTATCTGATAATCGACTAATAAGACTACAGTTTTAATGTTAACCTAAATTATAATCACTAAAGTTAATAACCACAATCTTTGGATAATGAATATTTTATAAAACATGCATTATAATTCAATATTTTTTGGTTTTCTTTTATTATAAGTGGTATTGTTTGCGATGTTGTAACAAGTACATGCAAAATTTCTATATCTGAAATCTGAATAAGCTATACAATATTCTATTTTTAGTTAAAAAATAAAAATAAAATAAAAATCAGTAAAATTGAAATGAAATGAAACTTTCGTAAAATATAACATAAGGTTATATTAAAATCACATTATAAATACTCTGATACTGTTCATGCATCATTACAATTTAATGACATCATTCTTTATAAATAAATAAACCATAAGACATCTTAACAAAAAATTGTTTCTTGCAAAAAATCTGTTTACATTCGAATGATGTCTGCTACAACTGGTTTTTATAGTAGGTTATTGACAATAATACTAAACCTAAAATCATAGGTAATTCAGTTCGGATGGGTGTATTAATTTGAGTATTGATGAAACTAGTACAAAGGATTACTTTATTAGTACTGTATTATGAATACAGTCATTTTAGCAATATTCAAAAAAATATTCTGGAGGTTTCAGAGAATCTATTATGAAAATTAGGCATTAAAATCTTTTACACTTCAACTATACTTAGATTATTGATGGAGTAAATAAATTATTTTTATTCCACGGTTCCTAATTAAAATTCTTGATTTTTTTTTCTTGATATTCTCACGGGTGATATTTATTTAAAAAGATAGGTAAATAGTCTATCAATATTGGAATAAATTCTATCATTATTAGTCAAATAAGTATATTATTATATTACGAAACCACGATATAAAGTCATTTCACAGAGTTATGTACCATTGATATTCACAGTTGCTTGTGAAATAACTATTACATACACAGTATATCTTTTATGACATATCATGTTCCTAAATTAAATTTTATCTATGATTTAGTTTAAAGAAATATTTGATATTAAATTATTTTTAAAAAAAAGAAATTCAAATTCATAATGTCGACCTAAATTTTGTCAAAATCGAAAATTTCAGTTATATGTAACACAATGTAACATTAATTTTAACAATTATAGACTGGTTCTTAAGAACACTTACAAACTTTAAGATTAAAATTTGCTTTATTCGGTTAATCTGCCAAAGAAATTTGTCTATTATATGTTAATTTTGATATAGTAAACTAGTAAAACAATAAGTGAACTTTTTCAACCATTTTCGTGACTTACAGTTATCATGCGTCACTCCCCTTCGAATTTCATTGTTATGATATTGACGAATTTTTTTTTGGGTAGGTGAATCTTAATTGTCACGCATTATTTGTCTCCGAACACTTTCACGTGTTAGTGAATAACGCGGGAGCGATCGGTTACATGTGTCGGTAATCGATCTTATTTTAATCAAATTAGATAAATTTTCAATTATGTTTATTTTCCTTTCTTTTCACTATATCCTTTTTTATAAACTCATATTTAAAAGAAGAGTCACATAATAAGCCAATACGACGTTACTACATTTGTGGTTAAAGAATGTTCTTTCAAATTTTAAAATGAGTAATGATATTATAGTAGGACCCGAGCTATACATAAAAAGGTAGGGTAAGGGTTTGCGTAGAATTGACCAAAATAATCATGTAGATCTTTCCTTTTATAGATAATTCCGGCCGGATTTTATTTCCTTTTTTAGACGCTGACTGGCATTATCATAATTCCGGCCCTGAAAAAATGCGTAGAGCTAATAGTAATTTTTTTTTGGCTGCACCTTACCTCTATATATATAGCTCGGGGTCCTATTATAGTGCTAAAAAATCGTCAAGATATGCCAAATTGCCAATAACTCGTAATAAAAATACGATGTATTGGGAATAATTATATTAAAAAAATTTTGTCATATTTAGATTACCCTGTATAAATAATTAGAATTGTTAATTATATTAAAAAAATTTTGTCATATTTAGATTACCCTGTATAAATAATTTGAATTGTGTAACATTGAAAAGTGTGCGTTCGATCTATTTCGTAATTATCATATCATAATTATATCATAATTAACTGAGTACGATAACAAATCTTTAAACTAATACATTTACAGTTAATTAAAATTTTAACTGGATTTTTTTTTTTATACTGATGGATTAATACTAACAAAAAAAAGTATAATTTCTCTAATGCATTTATTTGTGGTCATTTCCGCTCTCTCGAAACATTTCTATAATAATAGTTTTTACCAAAAAACTGAAACTACCTTTTTAGTCTTTTTTATTAATTTTTTATCCCTCTTTTCATCATTATTGTTTCTTTTGGTTAACTTAACCAAAATTTTTTTATTCTTATTGGATTTTTTTAGGGGATTTTTTTTATAATAATCGGAATTTATCAAAATTTTGGATTTTTTTTTTTAACCCAAAAAATAGGTTATTCTTTTTTTGGTTTGGGTCAAAACTATAGAACTATGTCCTATGGCTTTTTGTGAGATTTTTTTTAGTCAGTGATATTGTTTCTGACTAATAAATTCGTGTGAAAATTTTTTTTTTAGTGAGAATTTTTTTGATTTAGTGAGAACTTTTTTTGTTTGATTTTTTCAATATTATTTCCGACTAATAAATTTGTGAAATTTTTTTTTGATATTAACGAATTTTTTTTGTAAGATTGTTTTTAATTATATAGATATTTTGTAATTAAATCAATAAATTTTTTGATAAATCTATATAACTAAAAAACTATATAACTAAAAAAATTTGTCAGACATTTGGATTAGTCTCTGTATACTAAATAATTTGAATTGTGTAACTTGAAATTTATGCCATATAATGAAAACCCGTGACATGCCTCCACCTGATCTATTTATCCATGTACATTCCAATCCAATCAACCAATACAATTTCATTTTACCTTAATCGGATGATTAATAATTTTTAAATTTTTTCGTTCAAACTGAAAAAAAATTTTTCTTCCTTTCTTCTTTCGGTTTAGTTTTTTTTTTCAAACCGAAAAATTTGTTTTTTTTCATTATTTTCCCGTTTTCCCCCTCAAGACTAAAATGGTGTGATTTCAGGATGTAATTTCGCTAATCATTTTAGAGAAGTGGAGAACTATTGCTTCGGTAGGAAGAAATTCTCGTTAGAGCGTAAATGCAGAAAAAAAATATCCATGCAATGATTACTTCGGCCAAGTATCTTTCTGCGCATTTCAGGTGATCGATTTAACAAGCCTTTTTGAAAACATAATTTTANATTATAACCAAATCCATACCCAAAATTCTCTAAATAATCACCAGATTTTTGATTAAAAATTTTAATTCAAATGGTTTAGTTAAATTAATAATTTATCGAATAAAATGAGTATCAAAAGAATGATAATAAATGAAATGAACAGATTTCTAATACATTTAAATGTTCAAATATTTTTCCTAAGTTGATTATAAGTTTAAAAATAATAAGAAATAATTAATTAATATTTGTAGTATTTTCATAATATTAAAGTTTTTTCAAAAATACTTCTAAAAAATTAATCAATTTTTATTGATAATTATTTTTTCACAATTCCTAATTAATCCGAATTTCACTCTACACTCAAACATCAAATCATTAATATAAATAGCTACATTATTCTAAAAATAATTTATTATTTATATCATTCTAATATTATAAATATAATTTAATACATACTTTTTGTTACGTAATTATTACAATATTAAATTCCTAATTATTATAAACAAAAAACTTCTTTAATTACTTAGTATTACATTATAATACTAAATCTTTCTATTTAAAAAAACTCATTGGTCCCGGTGCGAAGCAACGGATGACAGCTAGTAATTATATTAAAAATATAAAGAACATGAAGTTAAAATAATGCACCGAATATTGGTTCAAAATTCTACCGAAAATGATTATCCGAAATTACATGTAACCGGCCTGTGTAACTTCCAAAAATCACATGATCGCGAAGGCGTTACTGTGGTACTGCGGCTTATGATGGACAGCCTTTCTGTTTGGTGATACTGATGGCGCTGTGTGACAATCAAAGGATGGTCTTAAAAAAAGGGGTCATCATTTTCGTTATAAAAAAAAATTTTTTTACAGCTTTGACGTTTAATCGTCAATTATTATTATTATTCAATATGTCTGATAATAAGCAAATGCAAAACTCTGAAAATTCGAATGAATGGATTAATTGGATTGATGAAGCTATCGCCAAAGAGCACTTAAAATTTTACGAATACAACCAATTTAGTAACTTTCAACAAATTGGTGTTGGAGGTTTTGGAAAAGTATACCGTGCAAATTGGAAAAATTTAGAAAAACATTTAGCATTAAAATCTTTTTTTAGTCTTGACAACATCACTGTGAAAGAAATTGTTCGTGAGGTAACTTATTATATAATAATTTTTTTTTATTCTTTGTTTTATTAGTCTAATTTATTTAAAATTTGAATTTTTTTATTTAGTTAAAAATTCAACGTGAAGTTGACCTTCATGATAATATAATACGTTGTCATGGAATAACTAAATTTGAATCAGGTATTATAATAATTTTAAATGTAATATTTTGAATTTTCTTCATAAAGTACATTTTTAATGTTTTTTTTTTTATTTTCAGAAAACCATGATAACGGTATTAATTATATGCTAGTAATGGAATATGCAGACGGTGGTAGTCTTCGAAACTATTTGAAGAATACCTTTAGTACACTTACTTGGAATGATAAGCACCTTATGGCGTACCAGTTATCCAGCGCTGTATCATACTTACATATTGAGGGCGTTGTCCATCGTGACTTGGTAATCTATTTATTATTATTTTACATCGTTGGTAGTAATCTATTTTTATTATTCACATCAATTATATATTTGCTTTACTTACATTTTTAATAGCACTCTGGCAATATATTAGTCCATCAAAACACGATCAAATTAGCAGATTTTGGGTTATCAAAAAGAATCGGGGCATCATCTAATGTTCAATCCAAATTATTTGGGATGATTCCTTATGTTGATCCAAAAAGTTTTAGCAGGAGAAGAAATAACAATAACCAAATGTATTCATTAAACGAAAAAAGTGATGTTTACAGTATTGGAGTATTATTATGGGAATTATCAAGTGGACAGCCTCCTTTTTATGCTGATGGTGAACATTATGATGTTAGTTTAATTTTGGAAATTTCACAAGGTCTTAGAGAAACAGTTGTTCCTGATACACCCGATAAATATATAAAAATTTATACTAGTAAGTAAAAAATTTTTAATTTTAATTATATATTTGAAGTTATTTTAGTCAATCTTAAGTTGTATTTTGTCTTCTTTTAGAATGTTGGGATGGTGAGCCAAATAATCGTCCAACTATATTTCAAGTAGTTGATTGGTTAAAAGAAACTCCTCAATTATCTAACAATCATGAATTTAATGAGGTCCCTTCAAGTATTAATAATTCAGAATCACAGGGAGAATTATCTCGACTTATTCATAATTTTAATAAAATGGATACAAAAGAAATTGATACTATAGCAGAGTCAAATAAGCAAGAGAAACTTTCAACTGAAATAGATTTCAACAGTATAGTTAATGAAACAAATGATTTAATTTTTAAATTATTAAATAAAGGGTTTGAATGGAAATTAGTTGAAAAGCAATTTATTGAATATTTTAACAATAGTAATACTAATTTGCAAGAAATTTATAATTGGTTATCTAATAATCAAAATAGTTCAAATTCCATTTTTTTACTTGCATATTTCAATCTTAGGGGAATTGGGACAAGTATATATGCTGAGAAATCATTTAAGTTATTTATTAATGCATCAGAAAAAAATCATATACTTGCGCAATATTTTGTTGGGAATTGTTATGAATATGGTAATGGAACTACAAAAAATAAAAAATTAGCTTTTGAATATTATAAAAAATTGGCTAATAAAAATTTGTCACAAGGGCAATTAGAGATTGGTCGTTTTTATGGCATTGGAATAGGTATTAAAAAAGATGTAAAAAAGGCTTTTTACTGGTATGAAAAAGCTGCAAATAATGGAAATATAGTAGCTATGTATAATCTTGGTCATTATTATAAAGACGGCGATGATGTTAAAAAAGACTATAATAAAGCTTTTAAATTGTTCAAGCAATCAGCTGAAGGAGGATATTCAAATGGAATAACAATGTTAGGATATTGTTATTTTAATGGTATTGGAATTGAAATTGATGTGCGAAAAACATTTGAATTATACCAAAAATCAGCAGATTTAGGAAATATGGTAGCACAATATAATCTTGGTGTTACGTATGAAAATGGAAGTGGAATTACAAAAGATATAGACAAAGCAATTTATTGGTATGAAAAATCTGCCGAACAAGGAGGTCAAGATGCAAAGAATAGATTAGAAATACTTCGAAAAAATATATGATAACTAAGTTATAAATTCTCATTTTATTACGTTATAAAATGTAATTCAATTAAATCAATTACTTTTGTTAAGTTTATTAGTAAAAAATAGTACTCTAAAAATATATAAAATTTCATCATTTTTTGTAACAATTTATATATTAAAAATTCATAAATTTACATGTGAAACAATGATGAATTAATGTAACAAAAAAAAATTAATTGTAGCAAAATATGATTTAAATAAATATCTAATTGAAATTTATTCTTATCCTTTTTATAGATAGACATTTTTTTTATTATTAACTTGATATATTTGTTTCCTTTTAAATTAAAATGTTATTCTAAGATTATAAAATTCACGAGGATTTGAAATTACTTATTTTCTTTCTGAAAAATTAATTGAACTTAAAAAATACTAGATTATTTCTCAATATTGTCTTATGAAATTATTGTATATATGTAAGAAAAGAACATGAGAGATAATAGTATTAAGGCAACTCTTTTTCTTTAAATAAAATATGAAATTTATTATCAAGTTGAAAATATTTTTATCATAAATTATGTGTATTATATTTACTAATTGTAAACATTATTCAAAAATGACACTTTTCCTTAAATTGTAATTTCAAATCGCTAATATTATCCACTATACTTTATTATCTTTGCTAGTAGTCTAAATTACAAAATATTTAGATGTAAATTTTCATTTTTCTCTATCTTAAATACAAGTTAATAGCATTCTACAACATGATATTGAAATAACATATGATATTTTTTAACAAGTCTTTACCATTGGCAAAATTTCAGCGAACATAATATCGTTGGGCATTTTTATTCGCTCATCATAAATTACTGAATAAATAGATAATGAGATAATCGACTAATAGACTTCAGTTTAATGTTAACCTAAATTATAATCACTTAAAGTTAATAACCACAAACTTTGGATACCGAAAATTTTATAAACCATGCATTAAAATTCAATATTCATTGTTTTTCTTTTATTATAAGTGATATTGCAACAACTGAGTACAAATTAAGGTTGTAAAGTTTCTATATCTGAAATCTGAATAAATTATACAATATTCTATTTTTAGTTAAAAAAAAATCAAAAATCAGTAAAATGAAATGAAATAAAACTTTCGTAAAATATAGCATAGAGTTTATAAATACTATGATATGATTGAAAACTACTGTTCATGCATCATTATAATTTAATGACATCATTATTTATAAATAAATAAACCATAAGACGTCTTAACAAAAAAATTGTTTCTTGCAAAAAATCTCTTTACATTCGAATGCTTCTACAACTGGTTTTTATAGGTTATTGTCAATAAACCTAAAATCATAAGTAATTCAAAGTCATTTTAGCAATATTCAAAAAAATTGTTCTGGAGAAGTCTATTATGAAAGCTAGGCATTAAAATCTTTTTAACTTCAGCTATAGATTATTGATGGAGTAATTATATAATTTTTATTCCACACGGTTCCTAATTAAAATTCTTGATTTTTTTTCTAGATATATTCTTACGGGTGATACTATTTATTTAAAAAGATGGGTAAGTAGTCTATCAATATTGGAATAAATTTTATCATTATTAGTTCAAATAAGTATATTAAAAGGCTTTATGGTACGGAATCATGATATAAGTTATTGAGTCAGCTAGAGATTGGAACCGACCAAAAAAACCTTAAATCGATTAACCAAGGGCCCTAATCGATTAATAATCGATTAATATTAAATACATTAAATTTTTTTTTTTTTTTTTGGCCGCAGATTGCACCAAATTACTTTTGATCATACATTTAGTTTTAGGAAAGTCTTATTTTATTATTATGATTATTAAAAAATTAATACAAATTCGTCCAAGTTCAGAGAACACGTGACCAAAAATTTACAGCTCTGGGCCGCATTAGATAATTTGACCAGAATTATGGTTTGAATAATTTTAATCGATTAACCGATTTTTGAGATACCTTAATCGATTAACCGTCTTAATCGATTCCAAACTCTAGAGTCAGAATCACAGTTCCTTGTGAAATAACTATTACATGCACAGTATATTTTTTATGACATATCATGTTTCTAAATTAAATTCTATCTATGATTTAGTTTAAAGAAATATTTATATTTAAAAAAAAGGAAAGTAAGTATTAGGAATTTATAAAGATAATTAAACTGTTGCCATATTCTTATAATAATAAGAGTATTATCATATTATTTTTGAAAAGTAATTGTAATAAAAAAAACTTTTTATATCAATGAATCTTAATTTTTACTTCTTGTTATTAGCCAAACAAAAAACTAATTCATAAAGTTCGCTAAATTCTAATAAAATTGAATTTTCTTAATTTAGATATCGATAATTTTTAATTGTGTATGCGCAGTTCTAAGTGAATTAAAAAAAATCACATACATTGTAAAAATTAGGGAGGTTTTACATAGTAATAATAGATACCATTTCCATAAAACCATTTTCATAAGAGCTGAAAACACCGAATTATTTCTTAAAATATAACTTTTTGACAATTTTTCAATGCTAAAAAAAATTTATTGGGCCAGTCGCACCGACAAAAATTGTGATTACATACATGATCATGGTTTAATTCATCACATGTCACTCCCTTCGAATTTCACTGTTTATGATATTGACGAATTTTTTTTGAGTATGTGAAATCTTAATTGTCACGCATTATTTGTCTCCGAACACTTTCACGCACGTGTTAGTGAATAAACGCCGCTAATCGATCTCATTTTAATCAAATTAGACAAATTATCAATTATATTTTTTTTTTCTTTCTCTTCACTATATCCTTTTTTATAAACTCATTTAAAAGAAGAGTCACATAATAGTAAGCTAATACGACGTTACAACATTTGTGGTTAAAGAATGTTCTTTCAAATATTAAAATGAATGATATTATAGTGCAATTGTCAAGTTATGCCAAATTGCCAATAACTCGTAATAAAAATATGATGCATTGGGAATAATTACCGTATATTAAAAATATAAAGAACATAAATTCAAAATATTGCACCGAATATTGGTTCAAAACTTTATTTTTTTTTACAAATAAAATTTTAAAGATCTTACAATTCTACAGGAAATGATTATCCGAAATCACATGTAACCGGCATGTGTAACTTCCAAAAATCACATGATCGCGAAGGCATTACTGTGGTACTGCGGCTTATGATGGACGGCTTTTTTGTTTTGGTGATATTGATGGCGCTGTGTAACAGTCGGAGGACGATCTTAAAAAGGGGTTATGAAAAAAAAAATTTTTTTTTTACAACTTTGACGTTTAATCGTCAATTATTATTATTATTCAATATGTTTGATAATAAGAAAATGCAAAATACCGAAAATACGAATGAATGGAATACTTATTTTGACAAAATAAATATAAAAGAAATTGATCCTATAACAGTGTCAAATGAACGAGAGAAACTTTTGTTTGAAAAAGGATTAGACATAGTAATTGATAAAGTAAATGATTTAATTTTTAATTTATCAAATAGAGGTATTGAAAGAAAATTAATAAATGAACTAGTTATTGAATGTTTTAATAGTTATAATACTAATTCACAAGAAATTTATTATTGGTTATCAAATAATCAAAATAGTTCAAATTCCATTTTTTTACTTGGATATTTTAATTATTTTGGAATTGAAACAAGTAAAAATAATAAGAAAGCATTTAATTTATTTATTGATGCATCAGAAAAAGATCATGTATTAGCACAAACTTATGTTGGTGAATGTTATCAATATGGATATGGAATTATAAGAAATGAAAAATTAGCTTTTAAATATTATGAAAAAGTGGTTAATAAAAATTTTGCAAATGGACAATTAAAAATTGGTTACTTATATTATAATGGAATAGGCATTAAAAGGGATATAAAAATGGCTATTTATTATTATGAAAAAGCTGCAAATAATGGAAATATGATGGCAATGTCAAATCTTGGCAAGTGTTATTTAAAAGGAATTGGTGTTGAAATAGATTATAATAAAGCTTTTGAATTGTGTAAGAAATCAGCTGAAGCAGGATATTCAGGTGGAATAACAATGTTAGGATATTGTTATGAAAAAGGTATTGGAACTAAAATTGATCAGGAAAGAGCATTTGAATTATATCAAAAATCAGCAAATTTGGGAAATATGTTAGCACAATACAATTTTGGTATTATGTATGAATTTGGAAGAGGAATTACAAAAGATATTGATAAAGCAATTTATTGGTATGAAAAATCTGCCGAACAAGGATATCAAAATGCACGACATAAGTTAAATTACTTCAAAAAAATTAATAATTTGTAATCAATAAATTGCAACATTTTTTAATTTATAAAATAATAAATATACTACTCTATATAATAAATAAAATGACTTATTAAATAAAATTTTAATGATTTTTATAGTAAGCATTTTTTTTGTTATGATTAAATTAACCATATATAATTTTCCTTTTAGTTTTTAAAATGTCATCCTGGGACTATGAACTCAGAGATTGAAATATTTTTTTTTTTCAAAAATTAATTGGACTTAAAACAATTAACTCTTCCTCTCAGTACTACTACCTTACGAAATAGTAATCATATATAAGAAAAGATCATGAAAGAGGATAGTACTAATATAATACTTTATCTAAAGCAAAAAATTTTAAAATTTATGTAAAAGAAATATTTCAATGATGAAATTATAAAGACTAGAAATTAGAATTTTTGTTTTACAATATTGATTATTAAATATCATTTTGATTTATCATCACAGCTAATAGTTTTCCGTGACTGTAAAAGTATTTTACGAATTTTCTTAATTATTTTAATTATCCGTTAATAGTCTTTTTATTACCTCAATTTGTTGAAATATTAACTTTACTTAATGCTTTTATTAATAAGTACCTAAAAATTATTACTTGTTTATCGATTCTTTGTCATTATGAATAATTAGTCGAAAATGGTAAGAGATAAAGAAAATAATAATTACTTAATATTTTCTCTTATTA